ATATATATATAAATATATGAAAAATTGATGTGGGTAGTCAAATGAAAGGTCTCTTTGTTAAATATTGGCGTTTTTAAAGATATAAGCTCATCCCGATTTTGTACTCATCAAGAGCTTTCATTTAAGTACCCATTTGCATTTTTGATATATTTTTCATATATACATATATAATATATATATATAAATATATGAAAAATTGATGTGGGTACTCAAATGAAAGGTCTTGATGAGTGTAACATCGGGATGAGCTTATATCTTTAAAAATGTCAATAGTTAACAAGATACAAGGTCATTTCTTAATTATTTATCTAGAAAACATTTTTTTTAAATTAAGTGTAATAAATAATAGAAATATTTTTTTTTTGCAGAAGATGAAGTAGACAAAGCCTCGTTGGAGAACATGCCAGCAAATTTGTACGAAAGCGTATGCGTGCCTGACCTGGGGGATTTTTTGGGTTACCAAGGAGCCAACAATTCGGTAACAACAGCAGTGACCACAACAAACCCACCGGAACTCAAGAGTCCAGCCACTCCAGCAAGTTCAATTACCTCGACCTCATCAATCCCACGGAGTGGTCCACCGTCGATCCAGTCCCCGATAAACGCCCCGCCGATTCCAAGGCCCTACCACAATGACAGTAAGTACCTTTACTTTAATAATTATTTTTACACTTGTAACAATCCAATGCAACGATATTTGTTTTCATCGAAAATTGGGGTACGGACAAGAGGGTATAAATATTTTTACTACCTTAAACGTATGATCACGTAGATATTTAACTTGGGCTGAGACTGAGCCCATAAATGGCTAGTGTGACGCCATAGGGTCGTTTATGGTATCGGGTTTGAAGCAATTGTTAACCGTCCAGAATTATTTGGCGTATGATATGTGAATTTTAATCGGATTTAAATTTAGTATTTTAATTTATTTTTTATTTATAACTCGGGGTTATTTTTTTCAACGTCAAAAAATATTACATATTAATATTTATTATTATTAATTTATTAATTACACTTTTTAATAATTTTTTTTCACTTAATTTCTTCTAAGAAGTTTTTTAAAAAATTTAAATTTTCTAAATTCAATTTTTTAATTAAAAAATTTTTTTATTTCTTCTGAAATTAAAAAATAATTTGTAATTGTATGAAGAAATTTAAATCATTAAAATTTTTATCAAAAATTAAAAAGTTAGACTAAAAAAAATAAAAAAATAATTTTTCCGCTAAAAAATCAATTTTCAAAATTTTTTAATCAAGTAAATTCTTTAAAAAAAATTTTTAGTTCAAAAATTTTTTTCTATAAACTTATTTTTACACTTTTTCAATTTCTGCTTAAATTTTTATAATTAAAAAACATTAAACCAAAATTTTTATGAAAAACAATTATATAAATCAATCAAAAATTCTCTAAAAAAATAAAAAAAATAATTTTTCTTCTAAAAAATCATTTTTCAAAATTTTTTAATAAAAATAAAATTCATTTAAAAAAATATTTTTAGGTCAAAAATTGTTTTCTAAAAACTTAATTCTCCAATTTCTGCTTAAATTTTAATTAATCAAAAAAATTAGACCAAAATTTTTGTAAAGAACTAAATTTTTACCAAGAAAAAGTTTTCTGAACTGTAATTTTTTTTCATTGAAATAATTCAAGTAAAAAATAAAAAAAAAATAAATTATTTTCCATGCGCAAATATAAAAAAAAAAGTATAATAATTATTAAACAAGTTTTTCTGGTGCATCTGCCAGCATCCTCCCTCAAAAAAGCTGTTGGAGAAAGTTCCCCAGTAGCTCAATAACTAAAAGTTTAATTCATCCTCGAATATGGAGTACATTATTGTACATACTACATATATATATATATACATATATCTCCTCCTACTTTGAGCAAGCAAGAAGTGAGCAACAATGAGTTAAAGAAATTTACGTTAGCGAGGGGGCATTTCAATTTTAAGGAGTGAGGGACGTATTTTTTAAGGGAGGAGCACTTGAGGACATTATAAAGCTGTATCTTAAACGTCCCCTCTTATATATGTATATATAATATATAATATATATTACTCCTTACTACGTTTTAGCTGTCTCTATTCCGAACTAAAAATATCTAAGGGTGGTCCCACAAGACTGGGACCAACTTCCGGTTGTAATACGAGCTCTAAAGTTGAATCGTAAGGTAGAACCCCTCCCGAAGAATATGTATTTTTATATGCATGTATAAGCGTGTGTGATTGTCAGTAAATTTTATTTAATACTTATGGTAGTGTAGCGCACAACATCAAGACGTCTTACGATATATTTGTTAAGAGCGCTATTGCGTGTCGGGTTTAGCAATGAGATGTTGCTTTGTAGTTATCGCGTGGATAGGAGAGAGTCTACGAGTATTATATTGGTTTAGTATATAGTATACCATGTAGTCTTAGTTATATATATATACGAGTACTTTGCTTATATTATTGCTTTACCTTACGCCATGTGTATGTTGGATCAGTCGATTATATAGAGAGGGATTTGAGAGGCAAGAGGTTTTTCAGAATGGTAGGCTATCGACGCTCTTGAATGAACGCCGAGGATGAATGAATGAATACAACCTGCGCGAAAGAAGAAAAATCTCTGGATTTTTTTTTTATTTAGTAATAATAATCATAATAGTTTTTTTATCGAAAAAATGATAAATAATAATAACTAGCAATCTTGCTATGGAAAATTAAAAATTTGCTTTATTAAATAATGAATTTTGTTAAAATGTACTGTACTTTCTGAAATATTGACGTTTTTTGAGATATAAGCTCACTATGATGTTACACTCATTGAGACCTTTCATTTGAGTACCCACATGCATTTTCATATATATATACATATATATAATATATATAAATATATAAAATATATGAAAAATAAGTGTGGGTACTCAAATGAAAGATCTTGATGAGTGTAACATCGGGATGAGCTTATATCTTTAAAAATGTCAATAATTAAGAAATTACATTGTATTTTTTCAACTTATGATATTTTTAAAGATATAAGCTCATTATGATGTTACACTCTTCAAGAGCTTTCATTTGAGTACCCACATGAATTTTTTATATATTTTATATATTTTACATATATCAGAAATATATATATATATATATATAAAGTATATGAAAAGTTGATGTGGGTACTCAAATGAAAGGTCTTGATGAGTGTAACGTCATAATGAGCTTATATCATTAAAAATGTCAATATTTTACAAGATAAAAGGTCCTTTCTTAATTATGTATCTAATTGACTATCGATAAGAATGATATAAAATCTTGAAAAGGCACAAATTCAACTCAAGACCTTTATGATAATAATGATATAAATTTTCTTTTTTTAAAAATTACTTAGTCAATTTTTTATAATTAAAAAAAAACATTTTTTTTCCAACTTACAAGTCTTAAATTTTGCTAAAATATTAATGATTTATTATTATCATTGATATTATTAATATTTTAAGAACTTGATAAAAAATTTTATTAGTCTAAAATTTCACAAAAATTTTTTTTTTTTTTCCAAAAAAAAAATCAATGAATTTTTACATTTTTACTATATATATAAAAAATTCATATTTCACCTGTATTAATCTCACTGCCCTGACCGTATCAAAACACACTAAACCCATATTTATTTAAGAAAAAAAAGAAAAAGACTATATAATGAATGTCCGTATATTTTCCCGTGTAATTCATGACGAAAAATCCAACAGGTACAAAAGTGAACATAATGCCCGAAATAATCGCAATGCCCAAATATGATATTTAAGTAAAATATAAAGTAAAAAGCATAATAAATAATAAAAAATAAAAAAAACGAAAAAATACATATAGAGTCCGAAGAGAAAGAGGATTATTGAAGTACTGGTGGGGTGGAAGAGAAGAAAAGAATAAGAAGACCTAAAAAATAATAATTTTAAGAATAAGTATCGTCCCTTTTTATCTCATGCTCATTGTATGTGTCCAAGTCCCAACTCTGGGGCGTCTGTCTACTGCAGAGCGTAAGAGGGTCTGGGCCTGAAAGAGGCACGAGGCCTGAAAGGGGAAGGAGAAGGGAGGTAGCTTCCGGTCTCTCTGTATCACGTGCGAGCCACCGTACAAGTACTCCCCTGTCGAGAACTTCTCCCTGACATCCGGTCTTGCTCTCCTCTACCACACTCTTTACTTGTATCGCCCCTCCTTATCGTCACTTCTGTCCTATAACTATTCCAAATATAATACAACATAATATAATAGGAAGCCTTTTTTTTTTTTATTTTTTATCATTGCGATAGATAATTCATTTTTATCCGGACCACTGATTACTATAATTATCTATTCCACTAATTTTGACTTATGGTCATCTTGGGAGTTCGGAAATCCTTGTATTAATCTTTGGCTACTTATTAAAACCTCCGACGTAATTAAAGAGGACGATTCTTATTTTTTTTTTTTCCTTTTATATAATGGAAAAATTTTTTACCAAATAATTATTTTGTTCCAAGGATACTTTTTTTTTTTTGTATTATTCGACTATTTATTTTATTTGCTTTAGTAAAGTATCGACTTTCTTTGTTAAGTCAAATATTTAGTCGCTGGAATATATTATAAAAAATAATTCTTTAGTCAAGGTAATGTTTACTTTTACAAATCAAACTTGGCTTTGAGATTTTGGAGCAAAATTTTTAGAAGTATTCTTGTTAAATAATTAACTATTCAATAAATTTATTAGTAGTGCTTAAAATTACTAACTTAGTCAGGATTCGAACCTAGATTCTCTAAGTTAAAGTTGGTTCTTTGTTTAAAGGGCCCATAACCTGTAGGTAGATAAATTAATTAGTAAAATAATTGATTTTTAATTAATTTATTAAGTATTTTTTAGCTTTTTGATAAATATTTTTATAATTATTAAGTTGTTTTTTTTATTTAATCAGACAGAATTATAAAAAAATGTTTGAATACATTTTTAACTTACTTTTTATCCAAAAATTAATATTTATAAAATTTTTGTTAACTCTAAATAAATATTTATTAAATTTAAAGTTAAAAAATGATTTCTTCAAAATTAATAAATTTTTTTTAAATAATAAAATGTAAAGAAATATAAAAAATAGTTTGAACCTGTAAAAAAAAATATTAATCTCTTTCTAAAAAGTAAAAATAATTTATACATTTACCTGAAAAAATTACAAAATTACTTCTATAATTTTTAAAACTTCCAAAATTGAATTTAAAAAAATCTCGCAACCTAAAACCAAAAAAAAAAATTAACGACACTAAATAAACATTAATAAATAACATAAAAAATGTTTAAATAAATTTTTAACTCACTTTTTATCCAAAAATTAATAATTAAAAAATATCTACTAACATTAAAAAAATATTCATTAAATCTAATGTTACAAAAATCATTTCTTAACAATTAATAAATTTTTTTAAACATTAAAATAGTGAAGAAATATAAAAAATAGTTTGAACCTGTAAAAAAAAAAGATTAATCTCTTTCTTTTTACAAAATTCCCGGATCTAATTTTTCTCAATAATTAAAAAGTAAATAATTGATCTTTTTTACAAAATTACTTGTATAATTTTTAAAACTTTCAAAATTGAATAAAAAAAATCTCGCAACCTAAAAAATAATTAATAACACAAAATAAACAACAATGACTATTATAAAAAATGTTTAAATAAATTTTTGACTCACTTTTTGTCCAAAAATTAATAATTAAAAAATATTTATTAACTCTAAATAAATATTCATTAAATCTAATGCTAAAAAATGAATTTCTTGACAATTAATAAAATTTTTTTAAATATTAAAAAATCAGAGAAGAAATATAAAAAATAAAAAATAGTTTGAGCCAGTAAAAAAAAAGATTAATTTTTTTCTTACAAAAATGAAATTTTTTTTAATTAGAAAATAAAAAAATGGTTTATTAATTTACCATTAGCTCTTCTCCAAAAATCTCATAATTAATACATTTTTTTTTACTAAGCAGAATAATTTATAATTTATAATAACAATAAATTTACTACTTGATATTTTTATCTTTAAAAATTACTTCAGTAATTTTTAAAACTTGCAAATTAGAATAAAAAAAAATCTCGCAATCTAAAAAAAAATTAATGACACAAAATAAACAACAATGACTAATAAATAAAACTAAGCATAAATTAACTCTCCCATGACTTTAAGTCACACATGCGTAAATAATATCAATACACCTATATAAAAATAAAATTAGTGTGTTGTATCAAAACACAATGCTAATACAAAATACATACTGTACCCATAGGAGAAAAATATCTCCGTACATCTCAATTCAAGTTTAATAGAGTGAGCATTCAAAATATAGGAAGCAGGTGGTTGGGAGCTAAGCATTGAGAGAGCGTTTGTCACGGTTCACCCCCATCTATTTATTTCTCGTGGTCCCTTTCCACCTCCAGGCTCCACCATCCCTCGCCTTCCACTATTAAATTTAAGCAACATTATATTAATATAACACACAAGTTCATCAACTAGTGTGCGTATATATTCATATTGTACAATTTACATTTATATTACATCTACCATCACCGAAAATTCAGTACCACCACCACCTTGGTATTCGTCATCACTGAAAATTACGGGTGGGGGACAAGGGAAGGAAAGAAGGGAAGCCCCAGGCTTGAGAGCGGAAACAGATCGTAGCACTATCGCAGTGACACGCGCACTCACGTCAAGTAGACACTCTTAAGCTTTTTTACTGCGTACTTGAATTTAAATTTTTAAATAAAAATTGTACTTGATTATTTATATTTTTAAAATATTAAATAATTAATTAAATATTAAATATTAATTATAAATATTTAATTAAATTTTAAAAAAGTTAACGACGTACTTAATAATTAATTAATTGAAAGTTTTATATTTTTATAATTTTTTAAACTTCCAATAATTAATAAGAAAATTTATTTTAATAATAATTAATTTGTAAAATAATTAAATAATTATTTTTAAATAATCCAGTGATTCCATGTGTATTTTGTTGCTCTATTTTGGATATGTGCTATTTATATTTTGGTGAAAAAAGTGGGAAATTTTTGGAATAAAAATTTTTGAAAATTAAGTAAAGTTACCAGTTGAATGTTTAAAGTTGATGTTAAGAAGAAGAAGAATAATTTTGGATTTGGTTCAACGTCACGGCGGGTGTTGTGAGCCTCGAAACGTCGGGGTCCCGATCGGGACAGACGCCGGCAAACGAGACGTTAATTAATCCCTTTGCCGTTAACGAAACAGCATCCGGCCCAGAAATGGTTTTGCAAATGCTAGACACCCTTGTCACGGCCCAGGAGCCCTTTTACGCGGACTATCCTTCTTATCAAGAACCGGAGATTGTTACGCACCATCAGAATCATCATCATCATCAACATATTACCCGGGTTATAGGTCCTATTTGCTTAGACGCTACCACTCATACTCCAGGTATAATTATCTTGCAATCTGGAAGAAGAAATTTTTAGTAATTAGCATTTTTTACATGATTTTAAAAGTGCAAATTTTTTTATTTATTTCATCAGTAGAAAAAAATTAATTTTTAATTATTTAATTAAAAATTATCTTTTTTTTTTCATTAATTTATAATTATGATTTTTATTATTAATTGTTCTTTGAATTATTGTGAAAAAAATTTTTATTTGTAAGAAAATTTAATTAATTTGAAAATTTATGAATTTTTTTTTTTTTCAAGTATAAATATTAAATTTTTTCAAATAAATTTTCTTAAATGCTCCATCTTCCGATACATAATTAAGAAATTACTTTGTATCTTGTAAACTATTGAAATTTTTAAAGATATAAGCTCACCCTGACATTACACTCATCGAGACCTTTCATTTGAGTACTCACATCAATTTTTCATATATTTATATATTTCACAAATACCATATATATTAAATATATGAATATTGCCATGTGGGTACTTAAATGAAAGGTCTCGATGAGTGTAACATCAGGATGAGCTTATATCTTTAAAAATGTCAATAATTAAGAAATGACCTTGTATCTTGTGAAATATTGACATTTTTAAAGATATAAGCTCACCCCGACATTACACTCATCAAGACCTTTCATTTGAGTACCCAC